ACTGTCCCTCGTCTTCTAGCCACTGTTGTCATTGACCCATCTTTTGAGTCTACTGCTGCGTCTGCCCTCGTTGCTGAGCTTGTTGACTTTGCTACCGCCTGTCGTCTCGACTACGCCGCTAGTCTTATTGCTGAGTCTGAGTCTATCTGTCCTCCGTCTGTCGGGGGTGAGTGTGCTCTTAGCACGGACGTCCTTGAGGACAGGCAGGAGGACTTTGAGTGTTTTGCAGCTATTGTTCCTCGTCTCGTGTCCATGCTGTAGGCACCTAAGGGAGACCCGGATGCACCAGACATCCCGACCCTGCGCTCTTACGTAGAGGCGATTACGGGTCCCTACTCCTCTGAGTGGCAGACAGCCATGGACGAAGAGATGGCATCCTGGAAGTCCGCAGGCACCTACGTCGACAAAGTTCCCCCTCCTGGGGCGAACATAGTTGATGGCATGTGGATTTTCAGGGTGAAGCGGCCACCGGGTTCTCCGCCTTCCTTCAAGGCTCGTTACGTTGCACGAGGCTTCAGTCAGCGACAAGGAGTTGACTTCTTTCAGACCTTCTCCCCTCCCCCAAAGACGACCACTCTTCGGGTGTTGCTGCACGTCGCAGCTCAGCATGATTACGAGCTGCACTCTCTCTTCTGTTCTCAGTTCCAGTTATGAGGCTGAGATCTACGCAGGGGGCATGGCTGCACAGGATTTACGCTGGCTCACCTACCTGCTGACAGACTTGGGAGAGCAGCCTCGTTCGCCTCCAGTGCTGTACGTAGACAACAAGGCCATGATTGCCTTGTGTCAGGAGCACAGACTGGAGCACAGAACGAAGCACATCGCTCTGCGTTACTTCCTTGCTCGAGAGTTGCAACAGCGTGGTCAGCTTCGTCTTGCGTACGTGGCCACTAGGGCCAACACTGCTGATATATTCACGAAGGCACTTCAGTCTGGATATCATCAACGTTTCTTTATTGTTTTAGGCCTTGTGCCTACTTTGCCTCACTTGCTCACTGCGTGACTTTGCTCGTACTGTGATCCATAGGCAAAGTGGGGGAGAACAAGTGGTCACAAGACCAGTCAAGAAAAGCAAAGCAAGCTCAGGGTGGATCACAAAGTCACCACACATTCAAAGCACAAGCAAGGGCCACAAGGCCAGCTCACATGCAGAGTTATATAAAAGAGAACAAAAAGTATAGTGATCATACCCTAGCAAGTGCAAGCATGCAGGTATAAATATATACATCACAAAAACCCTATGCCAAGTTTGGACGAATTTTGATTTCGATTGTCTTCGCGTAAAAAAATCTGGATTCAATTTGGACCGACGGTTGGAGTCATTTGATAGGAGCTCCGAGACACATCTCGCGACAACGTTTGGCTCGGTTCAAGTTCCAATTTGGCACGCGTGGTTTTCCGGATGACATTCGGGCACAATCCGTTTTGTTGCAAATTCGTGACCAAATTATTCAAAACTAAATTCTGTTTTGTTTATTTTGGATATTGAGGATTTTTGAAATTGCATTTATTATTGCGGTTTACAACAACCATTATTCAGCATTCTACTAGCTACAATCAGTCTTAGCACCAGGTCAAATAGCCTACGCACTGCCGGGCCTTGAAAGGGACGACATCTCCAAGGTCGCCATCGTCGATGAGGAACTTGTTCGGAAAGACGAACGCACCCCTCGCCGGATCGTGGGGGATCCTCCGCTCCACGACAGCAAAGTGGATCATCTGTTTGACCTTTTCACACCACTTTTGGTAGTCTGGCCTGTTCTGTTCCGGCTGGCTACTGATACGCTTGCGACGCTTATCCTGCAGAAGGGGCCATTCGATCTGCAATGTGGTGTAGGGTTGGGTGGATGGTTTATGAGGAGGGTGGGTTGCGGGTAAATGAGCCAACTGAAAGCGGTGATTCAGTCGTCACTATCTACGTAACTCCAAAGGCTTAATTGACCAGGGATTTAGCTGAAGTACAGGCAAGGGGTGAAGGGGATGAGGCATGGGGGTACAAACACATATCTATATCCTTACCGAAAACAGGCCCCATGCCACCATGCGGCTCTTGAACTTTATGAACACTGCCCCGCCCCTCTTGAAGGAGAGCTTGAAAGCATAAGCGAACAAGGGGTTGCTGAAGGGCGTCCCGGTGGCCTTGTCAAAGTGCCAGTTGAGGGCCCACTGTTCTGCATTTTGGCAGGGAGGGTAAGGGTTGGAAAGGGTTTTGTAGAGAAATCAAGTGGGGGGATGAGAGTCAGGGTGAGCCACATCGCACGGTGATATGTAGCTGCCAACTGGCATATGGTGTTTTCCAGTTGCACATACCATCTCTGTACTCGGCTAGGAGTTGATCGTCGTCGAACCAGGTCGTTGGGTGTAGCTCAGTGGGCAGGCTTTCAACGAGATGGTGGCAATCGGCAAGGCCCATGCCGGTGTATGCTGCTGGCCTGAGGGTGGAGTTGATAGTTGACCTTGTTGAGGACAGCTGGTGGTTGAAGACTCCCATGGTTGACTTGTCATTGTGCAACCACACCAGCTTCATTGCCTCGAGCCCTTCTGCAGACAAGTGGACAGAGAACGCGTCGAATACTTCCTCCGGGGTAGGGTAGTACTGTATTTTCTCCGGCGGGTTCAGAAACATGAGCTGAGAGCACACTAAGTAGCCTTTGTTCTGTGCAGAGGTGTAGGGTATACAACACGACATGAGAGAGAAACCAGCAGTTATGAGGGTGGCCGCGTGACCAGGGGATGGTGACTAGCAACACTGTGTGAACTTGCCACGTCACACCCTACGCCATCCGCCATGTCCACCAACAACCCGCCCCACTTGCCACGTCACACCCCCCTACCACAAGCCACGTCACCCCCCACCCACCTGACACACCTCGCTTCGTCATGCGCCGCTCACGTGTACCCTTTCAAACCGCCACGTCATCCCCAACCCTCACCTTCCGCCACGTCACACCCTCCTGCATCCGCCACGTCCACCAACAACCCGCCCCATTTGCCACGTCACACCCCCCCACCCCAAGCCACGTCATCCCCAACCCTCACCTTAAATGCCTCATCTCGTCATGCGCCGCTCCCTTGTACCCATCCCAACCGCCACGTCATCCCCAACCCTCACCTTCCGCCACATCACACCCTCCTGCATCCGCCACGTCCACCAACAACCCGCCCCACTTGCCACATCACACCCCCCTACCACAAGCCACGTCACCCCCCACCCACCTGACATGCCTCGCTTCGTCATGCGCCGCTCACGTGTACCCTTTCAAACCGCCACGCCATCCCCAACCCTCACCTTCCGCCACGTCACACCCTCCTGCATCCGCCACGTCCACCAACAACCCGCCCCATTTGCCACGTCACACCCCCCCACCCCAAGCCACGTCATCCCCAACCCTCACCTTAAACGCCTCGTCTCGTCATGCGCCGCTCCCTTGTACCCATCCCAACCGCCACGTCATCCCCAACCCTCACCTTCCGCCACGTCACACCCTCTCGCATCCGCCACGTCCACCAACAACCCGCCCCACTTGCCACATCACACCCCCCTACCACAAGCCACGTCACCCCCCACCCACCTGACATGCCTCGCTTCGTCATGCGCCGCTCACGTGTACCCTTTCAAACCGCCACGCCATCCCCAACCCTCACCTTCCGCCACGTCACACCCTCCTGCATCCGCCACGTCCACCAACAACCCGCCCCATTTGCCACGTCACACCCCCCCACCCCAAGCCACGTCATCCCCAACCCTCACCTTAAACGCCTCGTCTCGTCATGCGCCGCTCCCTTGTACCCATCCCAACCGCCACGTCATCCCCAACCCTCACCTTCCGCCACGTCACACCCTCTCGCATCCGCCACGTCCACCAACAACCCGCCCCACTTGCCACATCACACCCCCCTACCACAAGCCACGTCACCCCCCCACCCACCTGACACGCCTCGCTTCGTCATGCGCCGCTCACGTGCGCCCATTCAAACCGCCACGTCATCCCCAACCCTCACCTTCCGCCACGTCACACCCTCCTGCATCGGCCACGTCCACCAACAACCCACCCCACTTCCCACGTCACACCCCCCCACCCCAAGCCACGTCATCCCCAACCCTCACCTTAAACGCCTCGTCTCGTCATGCGCCGCTCCGTTGTACCCATCCCATCCGTCACGTCATCCCCAACCCTCACCTTCCGCCACGTCACCCTCCCCCACCCCAAGCCACGTCACCCCCCACCCACCTAAAACGCCTCGCCTCGTCATGCGCCGCTCCCTTATACCCTCCAAAACCGCCACGTCATCCCCAACCCCGCCCTGGTTGCCACGTCAACCCCAACCCGCCCCATTTGGCCCGCCACATACCGGGAATGGGTTTGTCTCCTGCAACACTAGCACTCGTGCCTTCTCCACGGCACTCATCGGCGGCGGGATACCTTTCATAGGCACCACTGCGGACCCCCCGGCATAACTGGCAGGTGCTCCACGACGCTGGCCGAGCTGAGCAAACATGGCGTACATCTCAGACCGTAGCGCCTGGAACTCCTCCCATGTAACAAACTGCTCGTGCTCCGCACTTTCACCTAGGGCACCCAAGAGCGGGGGAAAAGGGTGTGAAGAATCCCCCTTCTGGCCAAGGGGATCAACATCTTCTGCAGCAGTCCCGTGTGCCCTCACACTATCATGCTGGCGGGAAAAGGGCAGCTCAGGGAAGGGATTGGCAGAAGTGCTTGGCCCTTGCCCGCGCGATGGACCGGCGAGGGGGGAGACGGCCCTGCCCCAGACAGGAGAAGCATGGAGCTGCCGAAATGGGTATGTGGGTGAGGCGAGTGGGGAGTGCGTGACGTGGCCTGGTGGAGGGGATTCGGATTCCTCTCCTCTTGGTGCGCCGGGTGCCCTGGCAGCGACTTTAGACGGGCCGGAGTATGGCGTGTAGAACCTTGGGGCTCATGTGGATAGCGGGGTAACACTCGCTCTTCCGGCCCCCTTCGTTAGCTGCATCCGTTGCACGCTTACCGGTGGCCCAATGCCTGTAACACGAGGGGTTGAGATTTATAGGGAGCAGGAGCACAAAATTAGAGTCGATTAGTTTCAATACAGGGGCACACATGCTTGCGTACGATCAGCGTTTTGAATCTAAATCGGGTTAAAACGGTTACTGTTTTGTAACAAGAGGCCTTACCTTGCTTTGCAGATTCGTCGACCATCTCCTTCCCTGCAGAGGAGAAACAATGTGAAGAAATGTGTTAATTGGCACGGTTGAGCAGAGAGTTCAGCAGCCACGCCATGTGTATGGGCCACAGTGCTTACCTTTCAGCTGTCCCTTCGGTTTTCTTGCTGCCTGCGCCTTCTCGTTGCCACCTTTCCGCGGGGTGCTTTGGCGGCCGCTGCGACGTTTACCGGCTGGTTCTTTGTTGCCGGAACCCACTGGAACCCCTTTGGCGCGGCCGCCCTTTCCTTCACCATCCCCTTTTGATCCCTGGCTCCCTTGCTTCTTACCAACTTTTTCGCTTTCGACCTTCACTTTACGCGTCTTCGGTTTGCCCGCTGCTTCGCCACGCGGGGCGTCACCCGCCCCGCATTTTCGGGAATGGCGAGTCCGCCCTCCCACCTTCCCTGTACCACTTCCCCGTCTGCCTCGCCCGCCCCGTCCTTTCACTGCCGCCACATCCTCCTCCTCCTCCTCCTCTTCCTCCTCCTCCTCCTCCTCCTCCTCCTCCTCCTCCTCCTCCTCCTCCTCCTCCTCCTCATCCTTGTCGTCCCTCTCCTCCTCCTCCTCCTCCTCCTCCTCCTCCTCCTCCTCCTCCTCCTCCTCCTCCTCCTCCTCCTCCTCCTGCGCCTCCTCCTCATCCTCGTCGCCCCCCTCCTCGTCCTCCTCCTCGTCCTCCTCCTCTTCGTCCTCCTCTTCCTCCCCCTCCTCCTCCTCCTCATCCCCCGCATCCCCCGCTTTCTTGCCCCTCCTTCCGCCGGATGTTCTCCTCGCTGCGGGTCGGCCCTTCTTGCGCAATGCATGACCCGTCGCCTTGCCACTTGCTTCCCTGGCGCCTCGCGTTGTCCCAACTTCCGCACCACCGGGGTCGTCAGCACCGCCTGTTTTCTGCCGCCTCTTCGACCGCGTATTGATGTCCCCGGGCACGGCGGTGTCATACTCTTCCTCCCCATCGCTCTTCCTCTACCTACGCCTCCCACGTCCACCAGAAGGAGGAGAGCCACCTACGTCCGCGATGCTGTGTTGGAGATCCTCCATCGAATCGTGCTCCCCCGCCTTGGCCTTATCCACCACGGCAGCAGAAATCTCGACCACGGTCGGCTGGAGTAGCGTCAGTCCGAGTTGGTATGCCTCCGCCTCGGACTCCTGGGTTGCGGCATGTTTGGCGCGGGGAGCGTCGCCGTGGTTTCACCCTGTCGCCGAGCCCTCTCTCTCCGCCAACGGGACTGCAAGACTCACGCTCCCTCGCCCCGGATCTTCTTTGCCGCCGATGGTGCCGTCGTTAGTCGGACCGGGCTCGGTTCCACCAGAGGCAACATCCGCATCTTTTTTCACGGTAGAAACACGCTTGCGTGGCGTTGGTTGCTTCCCCTTGTCTTCCGCCTTATTCCTAGACTTCTTCTGTCCTTGCGCGGCCTTTTTTCCCGCCACTTTTTTCTGTTGAATGCCAGTCGCGGCGGACGCATTAGTAGCTTTAGATCCGCCACCACGCTCCCGATCGGTCTGAAGAGACAACCTCCTTGTCGCGCGTCGTCCGGCCTGTTCCTCCTCCTTTTGTTTTTGCCGAGTTGCATGTGTCATGGTTGTAGTACGAATGCTAATTTCTAACGTGCGGAACGGTGGAGGCGGTTTACTAGGGGAACCGCAAAGGAATGTAACGAAGGGAGACTCGACGGTTTATTCAATCATCTATCTCTGAAAACCTCCGCTTTAATTAACACTGAAATAGTAGTCACTAAGCACAGAGCTACGGCCCACTACCTTAGTCAGCTGGTGAGTCACGGGCGATCTGGAAACGCCAGCGTCAAACAGCGAGCAGCGTCAAAGTTGTGGGCCAGAGGGTGACGGAAGCAGGTGGGTGGGGCACGAGGGTGGTTGGGGTGGCTTGCGCGACTAGAGAGATTACTGTAATCAGATCAGGCTAGATCGGACGGTGTGCGTGTAGCCACCCGATCATAAACCCACCCACCGCTCGATCACAGCCGCTCAATGGCGGAAGTACCGCTTGGCGGGTGCTTGTGTTGCGGGAGGGGTCGTTTGAGATGCGTCGGCCAATCAGTGTTGCCAACGCATCAATCACTTGTCATGCTAGAACATTTTTGGAACCAATTGAGCGAATGCAACCTAAACTCTGCAAAGTACAGTGATGTCGCGAACGAACAATGTTGCACATACGAGCTAAATAACATTTAAAACTACAATAAATACAATCAACAACAAATTGGTAGCTAATGTAATAGTTTGGGGTTATGGCAAGGTAGTGGGTTTGTATCATGTCACACATACAAAGAGCGTCCAGAATTATTACTTCATACAATTGAACTAAGCACTATTAGGCTATGCCACAACGGTTACGCGTTGCTGTACGAAATCTAATACGACGATCACTAGTGCCAAACGAGAAACAATTGTGGTATGGTGTTGGATTGTGCTCAACACTTGCGTGGACCTTATAAAAGGAGCATAAAGGGTGTGGTATGAAGCACAGGGCTAACGCGCAAGCGGTGATGCATTATCGACAGCCATGTTTAGACAGGGCGACGCTGCATCGTTCAGGCCCATGTTTTGCGCGACATGGTGAAACTGTTATGGTATGGTGTTGGATTGGTCTCAATTCTTGCATGGACCTTGTAAAAGGTGCATAAAGGGTTTGGTTTGAAGCACAAGGCTAACGTGCAAGCGCTGATGCATTATCGACAGCCTTGTTTAGACCGGGCGACGCTGCATCGTTCAGGCCCATGTTTTGCGCGACATGGTGAAACCGTTGTGGTATGGTGTTGGATTGGTCTCAATTCTTGCATGGACCTTGTAAAAGGTGCATAAAGGGTTTGGTTTGAAGCACAGGGCTAACGCGCAAGCGGTGATGCATTATCGACAGCCATGTTTAGACCGGGCGACGTTGCATCGTTCAGGCCCATGTTTTGCGCGACATGGTGAAACCGTTGTGGTATGGTGTTGGATTGGTCTCAATTCTTGCATGGACCTTGTAAAAGGTGCATAAAGGGTTTGGTTTGAAGCACAGGGCTAACGCGCAAGCGGTGATGCATTATCGACAGCCATGTTTAGACAGGGCGACGCTGCATCGTTCAGGCCCATGTTTTGCGCGACATGGTGAAACCGTTGTGGTATGGTGTTGGATTGGGCTCAATTCTTACATGGACCTCGTAAAAGGTGCATAAAGGGTTTGGTTTGAAGCACAGGGCTAACGCGCAAGCGGTGATGCATTATCGACAGCCATGTTTAGACAGGGCGACGCTGCATCGTTCAGGCCCATGTTTTGCGCGACATGGTGAAACCGTTGTGGTATGGTGTTGGATTGGGCTCAATTCTTGCATGGACCTTGTAAAAGGTGCATAAAGGGTTTGGTTTGAAGCACAGGGCTAACACGCAAGCGGTGATGCATTATCGACAGCCATGTTTAGACAGGGCGACGCTGCATCGTTCAGGCCCATGTTTTGCGCGACATGGTGAAACCGTTGTGGTATGGTGTTTGATTGGTCTCAATTCTTGCATGGACCTTGTAAAAGGTGCATAAAGGGTTTCGTTTGAAGCACAGGGCTAACGCGCAAGCGGTGATGCATTATCGACAGCCATGTTTAGACCGGGCGACGCTGCATCGTTCAGGCCCATCTTTTGCGCGACATGGTGAAACCGTTGTGGTATGGTGTTGGATTGTGCTCAATAATTGCATGGACCTTATACAAGGTGCATAAAGGGAGTGGTATGAAGCAGAGGGCTAACGCATAAGCAGTGATGCATTATCGATAGCCATGCTTATACAGGGCGACGCTGCATTGTTCACTCCCATGTGTTGCATGTCATGGTGAAACCGTTGTGGTATTGCATCCGATGACGAAACCGTTGTATTATTGTATTAGATTGGGCTCCATTCTTGCATGTTAATGCAGCACGGTGCTTTGAGGTCCCCAAAACCTCTTGTGAAGTGACGATATACATATTCGGTACATGCAACAATCTTGCGGAAACACACTGAGTTCATGGGTAAAACCCGTATGTTTCCATACCACACTAGAGAACTAGGAGGGTTTACAAACACTACCGTTGTCAATTAGGGGTTGTTTTTGTGCAGGCCCATAAGTATGTTTGTATAATACTAATTATAATTGAATCGAGTGTCTATGTAAAATGTAACTGTACATTGTCATTACCTGGTTTGGATTAATGTCAAACTTATATCTGCTATGGTCTATTTAGGCTGTAGTGGGGTAGCTCTTAGAGGGTACAACACTTATATGTTTTCTATTTGTACCCATCTCATTCCTAGTTCATTCATTCTTTCGTCTATCATTCTCACATGGTATAGAGCTAGTTTCGAGATTTTTTAAAAAGGGCCCACCACTGAAATTCTTCACTGCCTACTTGACGCGCGCGTCGCGCCTTCCCTTCGAGGCCCGTCGCGGCCCCTGCGCCTGCCCTCAGAGCCAGCGCCCGCCACGTAAGGCCCCGTAAGGCCCCGTTAGGCCCCTTAAGGCCCCGTTTAGGGCCCCGTTTAAGGCCCCATAAGGCCCGTCAGGCCCCGTTAGAGGCCCCGTAAGGCTCCTTCAGGCCCCGTTAGAGGCCCCGTACGGCCCCGTCAGGCCCCATTTGGCCCCGTTTAAGGCCCCGTAAGGCTCGTCAGGCCCCGTTAGAGGCCCCGTACGGCCCCGTCAGGCCCCGTTAGAGGCCCCGTACGGCCCCGTCAGGCCCCGTTTGAGGCCCCGTAAGGCCCCGTCAGGCCCCGTTTGGCCCCGTTTAAGGCCCCGTAAGGCCCCGTCAGGCCCCGTTAGAGGCCCCGTACGGCCCCGTCAGGCCCCGTTATAGGCCCAGTACGGCCCTGTCAGGCCCCATTTGGCCCCGTTTAAGGCCCCGTAAGGCCCGTCAGGCCCCGTTAGAGGCCCCGTAAGGCTCCTTCAGGCCCCGTTAGAGGCCCCGTACGGCCCCGTCAGGCCCCATTTGGCCCCGTTTAAGGCCCCGTAAGGCTCGTCAGGCCCCGTTAGAGGCCCTGTACGGCCCCGTCAGGCCCCGTTAGAGGCCCCTTCAGGCCCAGCCGGCCCTCCTGCGGCCCTGTCGCAGCTCTGCCCCGGCCCTGCCCCGGTCCTGCTCCTGAACTGCCCTGGCCCTGCTTCTGCACTGCCCCGGCCCAGCTCCTGAACTGCCCCGGCCCTGCCCCGGCCCTGCCCCTGAACTGCCCCGGCCCTGGCCCGGCTCTGCCCCGGTCCTGCCCCGGCCCTGCCCCGGCTCTGCCCCGGCCCTGCCCCGGCCCTGCCCCGGCCCTGCCCCGGCCCTGCTCCTGAACTGCCCCGGCACTGCTCCTGCACTGCCCCGGCCCTGCCCCTGAACTGCCCCGGCCCTGGCCCGGCTCTACCCCGGCCCTGCCCCGGCCCTGCTCCTGAACTGCCCGGCTCTGCCCCGGCCCTGCCCCGGCCCTGCCCTGCCCTGCCCCGGCCCTGCTCCTGAACTGCCCCGGCCCTGCCCCGGCCCTGCTCCTGAATTGCCCCGGCCCTACCCCGGCCCTGCCCCAGCCTCTCCCCTGGTAAGAGCGCCGCGCTACCGAGCGTCGCTGCCCTGCCGAGCTGCGCCGCCCTGCCTAGCCTGCCTAGCCGAGTTTCACTGCTGCTGCTGCTAGCCTGCTGCTTCTCCTGTCATGGCTAGTCTCAATGTTCTTACCTTTGATGCTGAGGGTCGGGCTGTTGACTTTGAGATCTGGCTAGATGATCTGCAGCTTTTCCTACAGTGCGATAGCAAGGATGGCGCCTCTACTGCCCCTACTGCTGATGCTGACAGTACTGTTCGCTCGCAGTGGCTCACGCGCGATGCTGCTGCTCGTCTTGCTGTGCGCAATCACCTGCCGTCTACTGAGCGCGCGCACTTTAGTCAGTACAAGAGTGCTAGGGC